CCCATTATGACCAACAAATACCGATTTTCAGACAAATCCGTGAAAAAATGTTGCAAAAATCATCAAATTACCGAATATCTGGAGGTACCGTTATATGGGGGCTATACCAAATTTTGGACCCATACATGCAATGTTTTGCCACACGCTCAGGGACCTGCTATGACCTATAAATACCAATTTTAAGACAAATCCGTGAAAAAACGTGGCATAAATCATCAAAATACCGAATATCGGGAGGTACCGTTATATGGGGACTATACCAGAACGTGGACCGATATATCTCATTTTCAATACCAACCATCCTAGATACAATGCAAATAGCTCTGCTAAATTTTGGAGCTTTACGTCAAATAATGTGGGCTGTATCGTGATTTCAACAGACAGACAGACAGACGGACATCGTTAAATCGACTTAGAATTTTATGCTGATTATGAATATATATACTTTATGGGGTCTAAGACGAATATTTAAGGATGTTACAAACGGAATGACAAAGTTAATATACCCTCCTTTCCAAGTTGGAGGGTATAAAAAGAACACACACATAACAAATACAGTGTAAGCAAAATTGTATCATGCGAAGCCTCTTACTACAAAAATATAACAATAATAGTGAGCCAAAAAACAACAACAATTATGATATGGTTTTTTTAGAAGAATATAGTTTTATGTTTCTGTTTATTGTATAGTATATTTATTCATATTAAACTAGTTGATTACTTTTCTTTATTGTTTGTAAACTTAAGGACAATGGTTGTACATAAAATGTAATTTGTGGTTTACTGTATTCGGTGTGTTTGGTTAAAACAAAATATTCTAATTGGATAGAACATAAAAGGACAGAATAATATAAAATAAATGAAACTAATTTCAACATTACCAAAAAAAAAATGAAAACAGTACATCAATAATAAATTATGTGAATGTAACACAATAACAAACGAAATAATAAAAATCTAGAAAATTATCTAGAATTCACAAAGTACAACTACATGCATCTACGAGATACATATTTAAATATATAGGATCTACACACATGATTTTTGTAACTTACTGAGATGTTAAGCTACAGTTTTATTTTTTGTTTCTAGTGTGTGTGTGTGTGTTTTAACACATAATCACAAGTATTTGTATATATTGTTTTATTTCTTTTTTTGTTATAGGAAAATAAGTTTGAATGTGCAGAAGTTTAAAGCTAATTTATATAGTTTAGTGTACAAAAATTAGTTATTTTTAGGAAAAAGTTTTTCAAAATGAAAACAATTGATTTTGGTAGAATATAACCTAAAATAATTTTAGGAACACAATCTCACAAAATTGTAATCCAAAAATCCTTCTTGAATATGTTGCTTGAAACTCCTTCATCAGGACCTAATCTAATGAAGTACGTTGGACTAAGCTGCTATTTTTTCACCAGTCTTGGTTTAGCTTTAGTAAATGTGACTTAGCTGCATTTTTTTTTTTAATTTGGTTTAACCATCGGAAAAATTTTTCAAAAATTTCTCATAATTATTGAAAATTATTTATACGGAAGTCACTTTGATAAAAAAAAATGGAGCACTAAAAGTAGCACAACATATTTTGGTGAAGGCTAAGTAAATACAGTTGCAGCCGAATATGATTAATTGTCAATACAAGGATTCGATTTTTAACCATTAATTCGATACTGAGTATGCAAGTAGAAGAAAAATCACTCGGTTTCAGCCCAAAAAGAAGAATTTTTGTCCGAATATATCGAAATACACTATTTGGGGTGTAATATATATCATTTCATCGGTCAAACATAAAGAACTAGGAGTCTGTAAGAGACGTTTGGAAAAGTCTTATTAAAATATATCGACCGAAAGACTAATGAGAAAATTATCCTTTTTAGATCATTTCTCTACCATAAATTCTGAGAATATTAGTATGTATGATATCAGTCCCAAAGAAAATTTCGAGTCTTGCTGATTGCAGCTGAAGTCAGTTTTTGTTCAACAAGATAAGAAAAATGCAGGATTGAAAATAATATTTATAATTCAATGGGAACATTGCATTGAGTGTAATTTTGGTCATCATTGGCCACAAGTCATGAAGAGAAGCTTGGAACACTATGAGTTATGTCGACCCAATGTGCCAATAAGAAATATACCCTTGTGCGAATTGACAGAATATGACTTTGCGGAAGCAGTGCTAATGGAGTTCTATGACATTTGCAGTGCATATTTAATAGGTATAATTATCATTTATAGTTACAAGAATAAAAACAATACACTATACACCCGCAACAGACAATACATGTTCAGCTCAACTTTTTTCTGGGAATCCAGAACATAGCTAGATTACAGGGAATAAAATGGGGGGAACAATAGAGTGTTTTACCGACAAAATATAGACTATAATATCGAGTATAAGTTTTTTTATATCTTGTAAATAAAGATCTGAAAGTGTATAGGGGAAGCTTGGAACAGTCTGAGTGAGTTACATTAACTTAACAAAAATTGTATCCTTGTTGAAACAGTTACTCAGTGTGGCAATGGAAGAAATCGATGAGATACAAGAATATATGTGCTCCTGGAATTTCAGAAAATTATGAAGGAATATCCTTGAATATTTTCGAGTTGAAAAAGTACGTTTGACGAAGCATCAGCGGACCCAAGTGAAAAAAGAACGGCTCTTAAGACACCTGGCTTAGTAAAGACTTTTGGGTCCCAGAAATGGCTGATGAACTACTTACTACTACATTTTTGCACAATACACTTGAAACCGGTTAAAAAAATAAATGGGAGCTATATCCAAATCTGAACCGATCTCGATAAAATGTGACAAAGGTATTTCTGAGCTGTATTTGATATATTTCCCGAATATCGTTACTACCGAGTGCATTTTTCGTCTGTGCAGGACAAATTCAACAAATCTGATGAACAATATATATGGGAGCTATAGCTGAACCGATTTTCACCAAATTTGACATACTGGTTTCTAGACCCAATTTGGTCGTGAGTGCCAAATTCCATCCCATTTGAGCTAAAATTACTGGTTTGGTGCCCAATAAAAAGCAAATCGGACGTCCCATTCCATTTGAGCTAAAATTACAGGTGTGGTGCACAATAAAAATCAAATTGGACGAAAATATATCCAAATCTGAACCGATCTCGATAAAATTTAGCAAAGGCATTTCTGAGCTGTATTTGATCTATTTTGCCAAATATCGTTGTTACAGAGTGCATATTGCAGCTGTGCAGGACAAATCCAACAAATCTGACGAACAATATATATGGGAGCTATAGCTATATCTGAACCCATTTCGATAAAATTTGACATACTTATTTTCAGGATTAATTTGGTCGTATGTGTTCCATAATATTTGGGCTGATATTACACGTTTGGTGCACAATAAAAGGCAAATCGGACAAATATATATATATATATGGGAGCTATATCTAAATTTGACCGATTATCTACAATTTCAATAGAGTTCGTCCTTGGGTCAAACAAATGACTTGTGAAAAATTTCATCAGGATCGGGCAATAAATGCGGCCAGCATTTTTGTACAAAAATACATGGACAGACAGACCGACGGACGGCCATGCATAAATCGACTCAAAATGTAATTCTACGCAGATCATCAAAATGAACTATGGGTCTATCTGGTTTCCTTTTGCCAGTTACAAACAAATGCACAAAGATATAATATCCTGACCACCTTGTGGTATAGGGTATAAAAACGATGAAAACATGTGCAAATTAAGGGCTTATTTGGGAGCAGAGCTCGTGAACTTTTTAAAAGGAGTAATTTTCTTTTATTTATTTAGCAAGCTCTCACAAATGGTGTTGAATATTTACAATTTGGAAAAGTTCTTTTGAAGAAGCGTCGCTGGACCATAATTATATATGTTTATAATCAAGTGATCTCCAAAGTACCAAAGGTTAACACCAGAAACTCAATATTAACTGTCAATTGAAGAACGACTCCTCCATTTTATTGAGTGTAACTTCTGTTTAATTTGCGTACATAAAAGTCAGCAAGATTTTTACAGAGAGAGATATATCGATCTAACAAGAAAAGTACCCCTGTTGGAGCAGTTTCCTTGTAAAGTCTGTGCGAATTTATGTTTGCCTGCGGGGCTTTCAGCCATAATGATTACCAATTCATCAACAAGCCACGATTTAGGCTTTCAAAAAGTTCCAAGGAAATATAGCCGGAATATATAGAAACAATCGAAAAACTCCTATAAAGAAGTCAAATTTTCATACAGAGCTCAGTTCAGTTCTGATATAAAACGTTTCTTCTTCATATTTTCTCAAAATATTTCTTGTTTTACCGGCGAGTTTTGAAACATTTCCTAAAATATGGCTCACATTCGTACCATTTTCATTGTTTTCATTTTTTAAAACTTTATTATTTATAAAAAATAGGTTTTTTTATTTAATTTAATTATACTTAATTAGGGATAGTGTAAAAGAAGCACCAACTTCATTCTAGACGAATGTAGACACTTTTCCAGAAAATAACTAAAGAAAAAGAATCCTCAAAACATTCCAAGGGGATAAATTTACATTGAAAATAAATGTATTGTGGTTAATAAATGTTTTTTTTTTCTTCTAGTTTTAAGGAAATTATTTGAAATCTAAACCTTAAAAATATTTATTAAACTAAAAACTAAACTTAAAAAATTACATGTGGGGTTATTTAAAATAAGAGATTTACAAGATTTGTGATATAGGGTATTTTGTTTTTTTCTTATGTTTTTGCAGATTTGTCTAATACAAATCTTTGCATTCCAGATTGAAAACAACTCTTTCATTAGGCAGGGGGAAGGGGAGGTGACTTTTCTTGCCATACATTTGCGGGGTATGCTAAGTTCTAAGCCTCTGGCAATTTTTTTTTTTTTCAAAATTCTCAATTTGGAGGATTTTTTTAGGTTGGGAATTATCAGTGTTTTTTTGCATCGCTCAGCCTGCCTAGATCCTAGTGTTCCAATTGAAAGTGGTTGTGTGTGGGGATGTGTGTGTGTGTTTTTGTGGGTGCCAGTAATTTACTTGCCTTCTACGGGACGATTGGCAAATAATTGCTCAACTATTGACTCATCGGCCAGTGTTGAAATATCACCTACATTACGATCATTTACAGCTACCTTACGCAAAACGCGACGCATAATTTTACCCGAACGTGTCTTGGGCAGACCAGGAGCATGTTGTACCACATCGGGCATGGCAAATGGACCGATACGCTCTCTTACCAGCTTCTTCAGTTCGGCTATCATTTTAGCATCGAATTTCTCATTTTCATTGGGCGTAATGAAACAATACAAACATTGACCCTTAACAGGGTGGGGACGTGCAACAACAGCTGATTCGGCAACGCGAGGATGTTCTGTGAGTACCGACTCAACTTCGGCTGTGGACATAAGATGTCCGGAAACATTTAACATATCATCTACACGACCGGTAATCCATAAATAACCATCGGCATCACGTCTGGCACCATCACCGGTACAATAATAACCGGGGAATTTGGAGAAGTAGGTCTCTTCATAGCGTTCATGGTTATTGAACAGCGAGCGCATCATACCTGGCCAGGGTTGGGAGAAGACCAAATAACCCTCACCTTCACCTTGGATTTCAATGCCGGCTTCATCCAAGAGTATGGGTTTGACACCAAAGAAGGGGAATGACTGCAATGCAAAAAATAGATTTTAGAGGATCTCTTTAAAAATAAATTAAATTTAGAATACTTACTGCTGATCCTGGTTTCATGGGCGTACAACCTGGCAAGGGTGTAATCACATGACCACCAGTTTCTGTCTGCCAGAAAGTGTCTACAATGGAACATCTCTCCTTGCCAATATTACGATAATACCACAACCAGGCCTCGGGATTAATGGGTTCGCCGACACTGCCCAAAACTCTGTAAGGAAAAGTTGTAAGACGTTTTAGAGGATATTTTGTGAAATTTCAGGATATCAATTAATAATATTGAGAAATTGGACGAAGAAAATTACGAGTTATGTTATTTGCAAATAAAGTTTTCCAGCATCTCTGGGTCAGATCACGAGATCGCAATACGTACAATAAAGGAGCCTATGTTCATAAGATAGGTAGGTAGCTGACGGGTCAAGGTAGCTTTTTATAGTCAAGCTTTCAAACAAGTCATAGAGCCGATTTTCTTTGGCAAAAGAGTCCTGGATCCGATTTTCATGGGAGAGTCGGCGAACAGTTCAGGGAGCCTATTTTAATAGGAGAGCCGGTGAACGGGTCAGAGAGTGTATTTTCTTTCCTGGCAGGTGAGTGAGGGTGCCTATTTTCACAGACAAGCTGGCTGAGGGACCAGGTAGCCTGTTTTCATAGGATAGGTAGGTAAACATTTTCTTATAGTAAGAGCTGTATGTCGGCAAGAGAAGTCTGGAACAGCCTGATTAAGGTACAGGATGGAAAAGAAAAGATGAGAGTCCAAAGAGTCTAACTCTCATAAAAACCGATCTCTAAGTTAGCAAGTGAAGCTTTGAACGGACTAATTCAGATAGGAAAAGGAAAGAAGAGAATGCAAGTTTGATACAAGATTGTTAAGGACTTTGCTAAGAGATTCTGAGAATAATACTACTAGATTTTTAAGGAGCTAGCTAAGAGACTGAGAGTAATACTCGCAATTTTTTAAGGTCTTAGAAAAGGGAAAATGAGAGTAACAGTCGTGGATTTTTATGGAGCTAGCTAAGAGACTAAGAGTAATACTAGCAAATTTTAAAGGTCTTGGAAAAGGGAAAATGAGAGTAACACTCGTGGATTTTTAAGGAGCTAGCTAAGAGACTATAAGAGTAAAACTCACTGACTTTTAAGGACTTGAAAAAGAGATAAAGAGAGTACACTCGGGGGTTTATAATGAGTTTGCTAAGATCTCATAACTAGCAGATTTTGTATGGCTTTGCTAAGAGAATATGGCAGTAGTACTCGTGGGTTTTTAAGGAGAGTAATGAGTGAATGAATATGAGAGTAATACTCTTGGTTTTTAAAGGCGTTTGTCAAGAGAATATGAGAGTAATACTCATGAACTTTTAAGGGGTTTTGATCGGAGAATATGGGAGTAGTCGCGTAGTTTTATTAAGAAGTTTGCCAAGAGAATACGAGTGTAATACTCTTTGATTTTAAAGGAGTTCTCAAGAGAATATGAGAGTAATACTCTTGGACTTCTAAGGAGTTTTCTAAGAGAATATGCGAGTAATACTCGTGAATTTTTAGGGAATTGGATAAGGGAATGAGAGTATCACTAGGGGTTTTTTAAGGGCTTTGTTAAGAGAATATGGGAATATGGGATTTTTAAGGAGTTGGCTAAGAGACTTTGAGGGTAATACTCGTGTTTTTTAAAGAATATTTCTACGACACTCGTGGATTTCCAATTACATATCTAATATACAAAGTATTCTAAGTATTTAAAGACTACTTCTACTTCGAGTATTTCAAAGACTACTTCTAACAGACAATTGGAGTAATTTTGTTTTTAAGGAATTTTAAAGATACTGTGGAGAAATACTTGTCAATGTCAAAAGATATTTATACCCTCAGCTATATGTCTAGAGAGCGTATATATCATCTGATAAAGTGAATCAAGTAGTCGATATAAAATCCAAATGTGACACGTTTTATTATTTTTATCACGCTTATGTCAGATACGCAATGGAAAAAATCCTTGAAGTATGCCTTTAGAAGACCATTAAAAAGTATCCTTTTACGGGCCTTTTTACAACCAGAAAAAAATCTGTCTATAAAAAAGCTCTATGAAATATATGAAATGTATGTTGTATATACAAAGGCTTCAAAGGAATATAAAAAAATGGTTTCCTGCAAGATGCGTAAGAATTAGTCTTTCAATAATGTCCTTTAAAAGTCTCCTTTTACAGGACTCTTAAAACACTGAAAAAATTATTCTGTCTATAAAATAACTCTATGAAATAACTTCTTCTATATATATAGGATTCAGTACGATCCGTAAAATATCACCCTTCTCTAGAAGTTTTAGGTCTTCTGCCTATAAGAAATTGCTTCTGATTTTTAAAGAAGTGTCAAATATACTCCGTATACAGAATACTCTCTCAAAATGTTGTAACAACTTAGTCTCTTTAGAGGGTTTTTTTTAAGAATAGTTTTTCGGAAATCTTTTATAAAACCTTGACATAAAATTCTTCTTTCTTCTTGAACTCACCTCAAATGATCCAATTTATGTTTGGCCACCAAACCATCTCCGAATTTCATCAAAGCTCTGATAGCGGTAGGAGCAGTATAGAATTGGGTGACCTTGTACTTGTCAATAACGGCCCAGTAGCGATCATTGTCAGGATAGAAGGGTGTGCCTTCAAACTGTAAAAAAAACAATATAAATTAGATTCAACTCCCTGTCCAAAGGATATTTTCAATACTCACAATAACCGACGACGCCCCATTGGCCAAGGGACCATATACAACATAAGTATGACCAGTAATCCAGCCAACATCGGCAGTGCACCAGTAAATATCACCGGGTTTATAATCAAATACAATTTTAAAGGTTGTGGCAGCATACAACAAATAACCACCGGTGGTGTGTAGAACACCCTTTGGCTTGCCCGTCGAACCACTGGTGTACAACATAAACAATGGATCCTCGGCATCCATCCATTCGGGATAGCAAGCTGGCTCTTTATCTTCCATTTCTTCGTGCCACCAAAAATCACGATCCTCAGTCCAGGGTATATCCTGTTCGACATGATTCTCCTGGCATGGTGTGACACGTTTCAAATGCGACACAACTATACATTTCTCCACAACATGACCCATTTCCTCGGCCTTGGTCATGGCAATATCACACAAAGCTTTCAGGTACAAAGGTTTCTCACCACGCCATGCCCCATCGGCGGTAATCAAGAGTTTAGCCTGACAATCGACCATACGTTCGGCCAATGAGTCGGACGAGAAACCGGCAAAGACAATGGAATGTACAGCACCAATACGGGCACATGCCAACATGGCAATGGGTAGTTCTAAAATCATGGGCATGTAGATGGAGACACGATCACCCTTCTGGATGCCGTGGTCCTTGAGGACATTGGCAAAACGGCAGACCTCCTCCAGCAGTTTGCGATAGGTGAGGCCACGTGAGTAGTCATCTGGGTGATTGCCTTCCCTGCAATTAAATGAAACAGAAAAAATAATGAGAATGTGCTGTTGATTTTCTAAAAAGAATTATAATTTGTTTGCAAATGTGGGTGGCCTCCCAATGTTCTCTAAGTGATCCAACTAAGGAGCTAATTTCTTAATTTAAAGTGTTTTAGCAGATAATTACACATACCACCCACCCAATGTGTTTTTCTTAGATTGAGTTGATGACAATAATATAATGACATTAGAATGACCACAAAATCATAAACTAATCAAAGATGTAGACAGAGTCTCTTAGCAGCGAGTAAAAAGGAAATCGGTAATTGTCTTAAAAGCTAATTTATTTGGAGCAAGTTGGCATTTTCAAGGTCTTCTAAGATAAAATTTTGAATATTTAATAAAAAAATTCTCAATAATTTTAAAATTCCGTGGAAAACTTTTTCTTGAAAAAGTACCAAATTTTTTTAGACGTTTTTTGGAGTTGCTGCAATGGTAATGGTAATCCTATGGTGAAGGCTTCAAGGCCGTCTATAAGACTTCTAGAGGACCTTCAAGGCCTCATATGGGTCATGGATTTTCCCTTGCTAGACCAATTTTTGAGTGGAATATTTCCATTGTTGTTGTTTACCTTGTTTTCTTAACGTATGCAGATACTCTAAATATCTTTAGTTGGCCGATCGTATAAATTTTGCCTTAAATAAAGCAAAGACTTGAAAACAAAATAAAATAACAATTCTCAAAATAAAATAAATTAACTTCACACGTAAAATACCAACTAAAACAGATATAAAGATATATGTGTATGTATACATATAAATATTGCATAAGTAAAAAGGCAAAATAAAAAAAAAATAAGAAAAAAAAATCGAATTTCATTTTCATTGATTTTTTTCTTCACATTCGTTTGTTGTTGTCAAGTCCCAAACCCAAATCGTGACTTTGCAGACAATCCAATTGTCATTTGTTTTTTTTTTGTCTGTTTTTATGCTGACAACTTGTTTTAGTTCCCCCTAGGGTGGCAGCAATCGGTTTGTTAGGGGTCAATGCGGAAAGTGGAATATACTGAGCGATAACTCCATTAGAATTAAACATTTTCTGAGTTGTAATACCAAACAATTACCGAGGTAGCTGTCAAATACATTGTATGAAATGTAAATAAATAAATTGAAATTTCAACAGGTGTTGAGGAATTTTTTATTGTCTGTTTGGTGAACCATATTTGACATTTAAAAGAAAGGCGGAACTAAATTGAAGAAATGTATTGTTATAAATCAACTGAGAAAGCAAGGCGAATTCGTGGTCTTTAATCGTGAGGCACGCAAGGTCTAAAGTTGTGGATTTTTACAATAGTTTCGCATGGACATGGGCAAAGCAAAAATCGAGGAATTTTTTCAAGGATCGTCAAGGTCCAAATTTTTAATATTTCTATACAAGGGCCATATTTTTTTCAGGGGCCATACGAAATGGCCATCTAGATTTTGGGAGTACTTTTCACAAAAATCATCAGGGCTGCTAACGAGGATTAAAAAAAATCTGGAGTTTTTTACGAATATTTTTCTGGATCACGTTGGCTTCAATTATGAATTTTTAAGACTTTTCTTATTTTTTCACCATAGGATTTTTAATTTTTTGAAGGACTATTTTAGCTACATTCAACACTCTTTAAGGACATTTTTCAGCACTTGCAGGGCTACAACGGAATTTTTATAATATTGTATCGAGAGCCATCAGAGCTACCAAAGAGGAGTTTTTTTAATATTTTTCTAGTATTTCTATTTTAAGAAAGGCTTTGATCGTGAATATAAAAAAATAAAAGTCCAAAAAAGGATTTTTAAATAAGCTTTAATATTTTTCATTATGGATGTAAAATGTATTTCATGAATTTGTAAATTTTTCAAGGAAGGCTTTGATCGGAATGTAAATAAAAATGAAAAACCAAAAAAAAAAAAAAAATGGATTTTAAAATACATGTTAAGCTTTCAATTCTTTTTCATTGTGGATTTAAAAAAAAATATTTCATGATTTTTTAAATATTTTATCGGGTAATTTCAAAAAATATCGTGAATTTAAAAAAAAAATGCTATTTTTCAAAAAAAAAATATTTTTTTGAAGGGCATCAGAAGCTCGAATCTTGGATTTGTTTAAAAAAATGTTTTATTATGGATTTTTTTGAATTTTTGTACCCTCCACCAGTCTATGGAAAAAAATATCGTGAATTTTTTAAAAAAATTGCTATTTTTCAAAAAAAAAAATTTTTTTTTTTGAAGGGCATCAGAAGCTCGAATCTTGGATTTGTTTAAGAAATTGTTCATTATGAATTTTTTTTTAATTTTTGTACCCTCTACCAGTCTGTGGAGGTTATGTTAGCTTTGTCATTCGGCTTGTAACTCCTCGAAATATTTAAAGTATATGGATATAGCGATGTCCGATAGAAGGTTAAAATTTTGCACACATGTGTGTTTTTCCAGTAGGCAGGTTAAGTTTATTAATGGACAACGTCGTATAGCCCCCATATGATTTTGGCGACATTATTCGTCGGTTTGTGTTACATTTCGTATTTGAAGATTTTAATGGGTACTATAGCCTATTTCAAAATCTTACTTATGCAGGCCCACGTCTTTGTATAGCCCCCGTATAATCATTTAAACGGTATTTTTGATTTTTTTCAAGTTCCTTCCTAATGGTAAAAGTTCGGGCCGTCCGAACTTAGCTGCTTCTTTACTTGTTTTTCTTTAAAATTTTTACAAATTTTCCCAATTTTTTTTAAGATTAGTTTATTGTAGATAGACTTGAATCGTTGATATAAAAAAAATTTAACAGCCATCATATTAGCTGCTAGATTTTTAATACATTTGTTTAAAAAAATACTATTTTTTAAAAATAATTTTTGAAAAGCGCCAAAAGATCGAATCTTGGATTTTTTAAAATTATTTTTGCATTTTTGCGATTTTTAATTTTTAAAAATTTCCCAAATTGGGTGGATTTTGGTAAATACGACCGAATTCCGCCAAAAAGCAGAAATACTTTAAAGTTGTAGAAAATCGGTTCAGATTTTGCTCTAGCTACCATACATATGTTCAATCCGATTTGGTGTTTAAGCCCATCACTTTTGTTATATGCACTTAACAACAGATATCTGATATCATACTCTCTCAAATTTGATCAAGTTTGGTTCAGATTCGGATATGGCTTCCATATATATGTATATCTATGAGGTTTAACGTTTATTGTGCACCAAATGGGTAAAATCAGCCCAAATAAAGCGGACTTTGCTTAAAAAGTTTAAAAGAAAAAATCGTCGTGGATTAAAAAAAGTATTTTTTTCTTTTTAAATTTTGAAGGAAATTCTCCTTTGTGGGTTTTGAAAAATAGGTTTTTTTTCTTTTTAAATTTTTTAAGAAATTCTCATTTGTGGGTTTGGAAAATAATTTCGTTGTTTATTTTTACAAAATTTGGTATTGGGAATAAAAATAAAACATAGAAAGAATTTTCTATTTTGGATATTTTACAAAATATTTTCCACGATTGTATATTTTCTTTTGATGAATTTCAAATTAATTTTTTTTTCAAAAGAAAAAAATTAATTTAATTTTTTTTTGTAATGGAGATTTCCATAAATAATTAAATTAATACATTATTCCATACAAAAATTTTAAAGGTGTTTTAAATGGTGGATAATTTTGCAATTTTTAAAATATTTCTGTAATCATTTTTAAAATCAGTGTTCTAAAATATTCCATGCATCGTGAAAAATTTGACATCAGAGGCTGCTGCTTCATTTTACTTTCTTTTTTTTTGTTCGTTCTCCATTTCCATTCAAACATTTCATGGTACATGAAATATTTGCAAAATTAATGAGACTTTAAACATTTTCCAGATTTTGTTTAGACACATTTTCAAGTAAATCACATCAATTGATACTTTGCTAGAAATTCAAAAAAAGCTATTGAAATGTAAACATTTTCAAATATATATGAAAAAATTACAAAGTATTGGAATCTACGTCAATCAATGAATCCAAAAATTTATATGGAATGTAAATTCTCACCCCATAAATTCATTGATTCAAAATTAAATTCCAATTAGGAAATGCATTGCTAATAGACGGTGAAATGTGTTTTCTGCAACGATTTAGCTGGGAATGATTAACCGAAAATAACTGCGAAATATTTTCGTATCTTTTTCAAGTCATAAACATTTTTTTTTTTAATTTCAGAAATGCGCAAATATTTCAAATTTTTTTTTGTAATGAATATTCTCATAATCGTACTATGTGGTATTATTAACCATTTATTATGATGAGGTTATCAGTAGAGGAAACCTTGATGACAGTGAATTGTTTAAATTTTGGCAAGACATGTGTTGATAGGTATGACCATTTTTTTATTTTATTTATAAAACAAACAAAAATAAGAAGTTATGAAAATATTAAATAACAGAATATGTTTAATTAATTGTTTGTTTCGTGGGAAGATTTGTTAAATTCCGAAAAAATTTTAGAAAAAATTGTGCTTTTGCCGATTTTTAAAAAAAAATTCCCCCTAGTGGAATTTTTAAATATTGTTTTTCATCGTGAATTTCTTTTAAGTTTTTAAATAAAATTCATCGTGGATTTAAAAAAAAATGCTTAAAAAAATCATCGTTTTTTGCCAGGAAATCGTTGACAAATAATTTAAAAGAATCCATGATTTCTGGCCACGAAAAAAAAAATGTTTTTAAAACTTATAAATTTAGTGTTATATGTTATAAATTGGTTAAATATTTAATTTTATGTAGGGAAATATTTAAATTATTATTTTATATAACTATTGAAATATTTTGTCGGTAGGAGACAAAATGCAGCTATGAGTAATACCGGTACCGTGAACCTACACAATTCTAATTTTGCACTTCTTCAGCACAATTTTCGCATTGTGGATTTCAATATTATTTTAATTATCATTTTAAAGATATATAATTTGTTTGAACATGCCTTGAACGCAAATAGACAATAGATAAATATGACGATATACTTTTGCAAACAAA